CTATTTTTGTGTCATCTGAAATTTTAGCCACAATACATTTGCTTCCTCCCCCCAAGTCATTGATATATATTGCAAACAGTTGTGGTTGCAGTACTGATCGCTGTGGAACGCCACTGGTCATAGGTCGCCAATCTGAAAAAGAACCCCTTATCACCATTCGCTGTTTCCTGCCCGTTAGCAATTCTCTATCTACACCAATATACTACTTCCAACACCATAGGCTCTTATCTTATGACTTATGTTTTGCCACATTGTCAGCAATGCTCAGTCCAGTCAAGCGGATAGCCTTCACTTACGGGGTTCTTGCACAGCACGCCAGGGGCAGTTTCTACTACCACACCCTTCCCCCAACCACCCACCCTCCTCCCCCGCCCTCCCATCTCAAGTCTTTCTGTCCTTTTGTGTGTTGTTTTGTTCCTGGAATGAGAGAGATGCAGGTACTATGGAAAATGAAAGTACCTGGCACAGTTGTCACTGTTGGCGAAGCAGAGAGGTCTCCCAAGCAAGTGAGTAGGCAACATCAAGGGTATGCAGGGGTCAGTAGTGTTGGGGATTGGGGTGAATGAGAGGGGAAGATGTTGCAGGCAATAATGAGAGTGGTAGAGCTTGAGGCTTGATGGCAGGTGCTGAGTGCAAGGTAATGAAGGGAGGGTGGTGGGATTACTCTGGCAGAGTGCAGAAGGGCATTGTTCTTCTTCCTACAGTGCTGGGCATTCCTCCAGACAGCTGAGACTGCACTGACCTGGATGGCAACCTCAGCCTGGCATGGTCTGATGTCATGCAATCCGACCCCACCACCAAAGACATTTTCCCCCCCACCCTTATCTTTCCGGAGGGACAACTCTCTCCGGGACTCCCTTGTCTGCTCCACACTCCCCTCCAGCCCCACCACACCCGGCACTTTTCCCTGCAACCGCAGGAAGTGCTACACCTGCCCCTACACCTCCCCCCTCACCCCCATCCCAGGCTCCAAGAAGACTTTCCACATCAAGCAGATGTTCACCTGCACATCTGCTAATGTGGTATACTGCATCTGCTGTTCCCGTTGTGGCCTACGCTACATCGGGGAAACCAAGCGGAGGCTTGGGGACCGCTTTGCAGAACACCTACGCTCGGTTCGCACTAAACAACTGCACCTCCCAGTCGCGAACCATTTCAACTGCCCCTCCCATTCCTTAGACGACATGTCCATCCTAGGCCTCCTGCAGTGCCACAACGATGCCACCCGAAGGTTGCAGGAACAGCACCTCATATTCTGCTTGGGAACCCTGCAGCCCAATGGTATCAATGTGGACTTCACAAGCTTCAAAATCTCCCCTCCCCCTACTGCATCCCAAAACCAGCCCAGCTTGTCCCCGCCTCCCTAACCTGTCATTCCTCCCACCTATCCCCTCCTCCCACCTCAAGCCCCACCCCCATCTCCTACCTACTAATATCATCCTGCCCCCTTGACCTATCTCCTCCCTAACTCCCCACCTACACTTACCTTTACTGGCTCCATCCCCGCCTCTTTGACCTGTCTGTCTCCTCTCCACCTGTCTGTCTCCACTCCACCTATCTTCTCCTCTATCCATCTTCTATCCGCCTCCCCCCTCTCCCTATTTAATTCAGAACTCCCTTCCCCTCCCCCATTTCTGAAGAAGGGTCTAAGCCCGAAACGTCAGCCTTCCTGCTCCTCTGATGCTGCTTGGCCTGCTGTGTTCATCCAGCCCTACATCTTGTATTCTCATGGTTTCCTCAGTTAGCTCTGGGGGAAAAAGACTTCCAATGTTGGCACCACCCCACCCATCAGCTGCCCTGCCCACAAAGCAGCGTGCCAAATTTTCAGTCTGGCACTTTCTCCATCTGCCACACCAAGGGCAAATGCCAGGAACTATGCATGATAGCTCTGGACTGACAGTGTTTATCAGGGTGCACAATATGTTTTTAAAGATGGTGTCATTACCAGGGATGCTGATCAGTTCCTGAATCCCTGCTGAGTGGGGTGTTGGTCTGGGAAAAGCACACAGTAAGATGGCACAAATTCAGATGTAATCCTTGCCGTAAGGGAAGAAACAGATATCGATGAGGCACGTTTGGTAAAATACAATGAGAAAATTTGTTTGGCCTTAAGGTGGAAGCACATTTTGTTTTAATTCACTCATAGGATGAGGGCATTGCTAGCATTTATTGCCCATCCCCAATTACCCAGAGGGCAGTTAAGAGTCAACCATATTGCTGTGGATCTGGAGTCACATGTAGGCCAGACCAGGTAAGGATGGCAGTTTCCTTCCCTAAAAGGGATCAGTGAACCAGATGAGTTTTCCCTGACAATCAACAACGGTTTCATGGTCATCATTAGACTCTCAATCCCAGATTTTTATTGAAATCAAATTTCACCATTTGTCATGGCAGGATTCAAACCCAGGTCCCCAGAACATTAGATGGGTCTCCAGATTAACAGTCCAGCAATAATACCATTAGGCCATCATCTCCCCATGTTGCCTGAGATGGCAAATTTCAGTTATGAGGACAGACTGGATCGGCTTCATTTGTTTTCCCTGCAGCAGTGGAAGCTGAGGGGAGACCTGATTGAAGCATACAAAACTATGACAGGCACAGATAGGGTAGAGTGTGGGAATATTTTCCCCATGGCAGACATGTCTAAGAACAGAGGGCATATGTCTAAGGTGAAGAATAAGTGGTTTAGAGGAGATCTATTTTCACAGAGGGTGGTAGAAATATGGAATGTGCTGCTTGAGAGCGTTGTAGAGGCAGGTACTCTCACAACATTTAAGACGCATCAGGGTGACACTTAAAGTGCCAGGGCATAGTAAGCTATGGACCAAATGCAGGTAAATGGGGTTAGTGTAGTTTGGTGTTTGTTAGACGACATGGGCATGGAGGACTGAATTGTCTGTTTCTATGCTTGGTGAGTCTACGACTCTAGATTTGCCGTGTCTCGCACCTAGGCAAAATAAAAATATTCAGTCCATAGAGACATTATGGCTCAACAAGGCCATACTAGCTCTCATTACAGCAAACTAATCCCATTCCTTTACTCTATTCTCCTAATTCCACAACTCATTTCCCTCAAATATCCAAAAATTTCCATTTAAAATTATTGATCTCTTCCAATTCCTTAATGGACAGATTGGATTCACAGTAATTCGTGGTCTCTGCATAAATTTGACCTCATACCACCCCCATCGCTTAGCAACACCTTAAACCTGTGTTTGTTATCATTTTCTAACAAAAAGAATGATAATCAACATGAGCTTGTTGTAAAGTTCTTTACTACTTTGGACATTACTTTGAAACAAAACTGACATTAACAGTCGGATTAATGTACTTTTTCAATGAGTTACACTGTTGCATTCTACGCAGGCCATGCAACAAAATTATCAGTTTAGTAAAAAAAAGTGTATTTCGAAGTACTTCTAAAATATTACCGTGTGAAGAACTAGAATCTTCACCAGGGTCATTTTACATGTTGTTTCTTTCAAACTCTCACCTTGTCCACAATGAATGCAATTTGGTCAGGCAGAGGGATAGGCCCCATGATTTGTTGTACACTGAATGGGGAATCATGAGGAGCATGCTCCCAAAATCCTGATATGTTCCCAAGTACTGTTGACTTGCTTTCCAAGAAGGATTAAATGTACATTAAAAGGAATTTTTAAGAAAATGTCCAGCCAACTTTGCACCTCAAATTGTTAAAGAACTGCTGGAAATTTTGAAACTGCCTGCTTGTTTGGTACCAATGTGAGTCAATTATATTCAACTAAACCTTAAGTGCCTAGAACTTGACCAATTCCTTAACATGGATTTAGATAGAGCCAGGTTCTTTAAAAATAAATCTTGGTATAAGAGACAGAATGATTACATTTACCAACAAACCAATATTTTCTTTATTAAGTCAAAATGATGTATGAGCAGGTCTGATCTGTGGTGGGAATCCCTACAGTGTGGAAACAGGCCCTTCGGCTCAACAGGTCCACGCCGACCATCAGAGCATCCCAGCCAGACCCATCCCCCACCTAATCTATACATCCCTCAATACTATGGGCAATTTAGCATAGGCAATCCACCTAACCTGCACATCTTTGGACTGTGGGAGGAAACCGGAGCACCCGGAGGAAAACCACGCAGACACAGGGAGAATGTGCAAACTCCAAGTTAATTTTCTGTTTAGAAAGGTCAGGGAATTTGGTAACAGGAAGGATACATTTATTTTTCTTGTACATTCCCTTTAAATCTTGGGTCATTTTTATTTTGACCAAGAGAGAAGATTCTTTCAAATCTACGGATGAGTCAGTAATCTGGGCAAGATTTCAAAACGTTTTAAATAAAAAATGTAACAAAACATTCGGGGAAGGGATTCACATAGGCAGTGAACCATTTTGATGAACCAGGAATGACAATGATCTTGGAATAAAAGTGTAAACCATCTTCATTTACAAGGATCAACACACTAAGTTAATGAGCTCAATTAATGTTGCAAAGAGTCATTTTGTACTCGAAACAATAACTCTGTTCTCTCAGCACAGATCCTTCCATACCTGCTGAGTTTCTCCAGAACGTTTTGTTTTTCTTTCAGATCTGCAGCATTAACAGTATTTTGCTTTTAATTAGAATTTTGCCAAACCATGTTATACAATGAAAACAATGTCAAACACCAGTATCCTATAACCTTTATCTGGGAATATTTCAAACTATTTACAATTATTAATTATATGTTCTCTATTGCACAATTGCTAACATTTCCAACAGTCCAGAGTCCTCCAATCTCAAATCATTGTGTAAATGATAGACTTTCTGTGCCCTGGACTGGATTATTGACAGAAACTGAGTATAAGCTGAGGATGGATTTATAACTAAAGAAATAAATTTGACTTCATCGACATTTTTCCTTTGAAAATTAGACAGTTCTAAGATTGATATAGATCGATTGTAAGCAAAAGAGAAATGTGAACGTGCAATGCATGGTGCAAAAAAGTGGAGAAGTAGATTTTTTTTACCTTGTAATCCTCATTCTTTGATTGGAAGATCTCCTTCACACAGACACATATAGGTGTTGCCTTCTATTGTATGCCTGAATTGAAGAGAAAAAGGAAATCTCTTTTAGATGCTCAGATTACAATTTGTTAAAGTTCAGGTCTTGTGAAATTGTACCCATATTTGCAATGTAGTTTTCTCTCACTACATTCTGGAAGTGCTTGAGACAAACATATTAACTATTGCATTCACTGTGAGTTCCTGAAAGAAGGGCTACCCTTGACAACCAAGTAATAGACTTTCAAGTGAGAAAACCCAGTTTATTGCAGGTAAACAAAATATTTAAGAATCAAGCCCGATACATACTCAAATCTCTACTTTCGGCTCCAGCTAGAAAACCTCCCAGCAGTAAATCAGAAAATTCCTCCACCATCATCAATGGGCTGCGCCTATTTCACCCTCGGCTTTTTGACCTCTTCGCAAAAGAGCAGCTTTTACTCGCATTCCTTTATGTACAAAGACAAGATTGAGTTCTACCGGACAGATTATCAGAATTACAAATGCATCACTTCCAACCAAGAGAACTTTATTTAAGGAGCAAAATGACAGGATCCACCTCTAAACTGCAAAGATCGAAGTTTTCTCCAGAAATTTTCAGTGTTCTATCTTTTGCAGCTGTAATTGTGATTGCTGTTGCCACATATCAGCTTTATTTATTTCTGAACACAAACCTATTGTTCAGTTTTAAAGAGAAGTGCAAGAGCCAATACACTCCTACATTTATTGGGGAAAAAACACTCCATCTATCCCAGAAGGAATCTAACCAGCTATATTCATTCCAATTGCATCCCCAGATAATCACAGCAAGACTATAATGATCAAAACAATGTAGTGTAATGTTCTGATAAAGTCACATAGAAAGCAACAAACTATTAAGGGTCCAGACCCGAAACGTCAGCCTTCCTGCTCCTCTGATGCTGCCTGGCCTGCTGTGTTCATCCAGCTCCACACCTTGTTATCTCAAGACTCTCCAGCGTCGGCAGCTCCTACTATCTCTGAAACTATACTTCCTCATCTTCAGTACCTATGTTATATTTTGAGCTTTAATAATCTCTCCATTTTCTATTCAAAGTGCTTCTGCTTTTTCTCGGACTCAGCAGAATGTGCAGCAGTTTCTATCAATGAGCAGTGAGTCAGGTTTTATTTTATTCATTCATGGTTTGGGGGCATCACCAGACCAGTGTTCATTGACCATCCCTAATTGCCCACAGGGCAGCTTGGGAGGCAATGGCCTAGTGGTATTATCGCTGGACTGTTAATCCAGAGACCAAGATAATATTCTGGGTTCAAATCCTGTCACGGCAGATGGTGGAATTTGAATTCAATAAAAATTTATCCGGAATTAGGAGTCTGGTGATGACGATGAATTCATTGCCGATTGTCGGGAAAAACCCATCTGGTTCACTAACGCCCTTTAGGGAAAGAAACTGCCATCCTTACCTGATCTGGCCTACATGTGACTCCAGACCCACAGCAACATGATTGACTCTCAACTGCCCTCTGGGCAATTAGTGTTGGGCAGTAAATGCTGCCTAAAAGCACCACCCTCATCCCATAAATGAATAAAGAAAAAAACAAAACCACATTGCTGTGGATCTGGAGTCACATGTCGGCCAGACTGGGTAATGCTCTTTCCTCAAGGGCATCAGTGACAACAGATGGATTTTGCAAGCATGAATGGCTTCACGGCCATCAGGAGACTCCTGCTTTGTTACTAATTCAAATTCCACCAGCTGCCATGGCAGGATTCAGACCCAGGTCCCCCAGGGCATGACCTGGGTCACTGGATTAATAGTCCAGTGATAATACCACTGGGCCATCACCTCCCCTTTGATGCTTCCAATGTCCACGGATTCTAAAGCCCGGTTCTAAATGACATATACAAACGGATTTGTGTTATTTGTGGACAGACTGCGCAGGTGCAGGTGACCAACCTTAGGACTCTGGTTATTCACTAAAATCCTTAAGAGGCTGCTTGCTTTTATTTTCTTTTACCCAATTTTTATCTTAATGCCTCTGGGCCAGCTTTTCCTGATCTTGTGAATCCAGGCCGGAGAAAGGAGGCACGAAGGGCCGAATGAACACCTGAATCATGCGATCCATGAGCAGTGGGAATGATGCCTCTAGGCCCAACAAGCTTAATTTGGTGTAACTCGCTGACTCCACAATGTACAAATTGTACCCCCATTCCTTGATGATCTGATTCAGCCCACAATGTCTGAGCCCCCACTTCACGTACTGTCCCTTTCTTTGGTTGCTTTCCAACCAGTAGACTGTCAGTCTGGCTGGAAATCTGCTCAAAATCTTCTATGGATATGCTACATTAAGCTTGGCAGGGAGCAAGGGAAGCCCATACTTTCTGATTTCTCTCTGAAAATCCTCCAAAACCACTCCCTTTCTGTCCCGACTTTGAATAAATATCAGACCCCGTGCCTCAAACATGATTTGCATGGACAGAGTTGCCTTTGACATTTGCCAATGATGCTCAGTGATATTTTATTTTTCCCACCAGTCCCAGCTCTGATATTGCTGCTTCATATCCTGCTGACTACCTCTCCAACTTCAAGTCACAGGAAATTCAGTTTATCTTTGTTTGTGTATTCAAAAAAGTAAATGGGTCCAGTACAACCTTTCAGTCCACATGTAACAGCCTGTCCACAAATGTAACAGAGATATCAATATCCATTTGGAAATGTCATTTAGAGTAGGGGAAAGTTCTGGGGAGGGGCATCGGAAGCAGGAGTCAAAGAGATACTCAAAGTAGTAACTGAAAATTAGCTCAAACAGCTGGATATTAAGGAGAATTTGAGAAGAGGCTTACATGAGGTTACAAAAGTAGGGAGGAGCCTGGTCTCCCCACTTCCTAGCCCAGGAACTCACACTGCACCACCCCATCTAAACATCACTGAAAATCTTTCACATTCTGCTGGATAAGTGTACAGGACCTCAGTTTAACATCACAGCTAAAGAACTGATATCAAATTAGCCTACATGGAACTCTCCACTTGTGTTAGATTCTGCTCTCTTGACCCACTATTCTAACCATTTGGAGAACATCATGACATATACATTGAATCCCGACTGTGCGAAAGCAGGCCATTAAGCCCATCGAGTCCACACTGCCTCACTGAGGACCATCCCACCCAGATCCACCCCCACCCCACCCCACTCCCCTATCCCTGCATTTCCCACAGCTAATCCATGTACCCTGCACATTCCTGGACGCTATGGGGCAATTTAGCATGGCCAATCTACCTAACCCACACATCTTTGGACTGTGGGAGAAAACTGCAGCATCCAGAGAAAACCCACACAGACACAGGGAGAATGTGCAAACTCCACACAGTCGCCCAAGGGTGGAATCAAACCCAAGTCCCTGGCACTGTGAGGCAACAGTGCTAATCACTGAGCCACTGTGCCACCCACACTTAGCTAGAAATTTAATCCTGTACTGCTCCTGTTCATTGGCATACTTGTCTTTTTTTTCATCTAAATTCTAAATATATTCTGATACAAGAATGACATTGTTCCAAAGACTGAAATACATGGAGTACTATCATCAGCTGTCTGGGTTGTTTATAATAACTGCCGGCAAATTGCGCAAAAATTGTAAGCCAGTAGTTAATGGCATTCTAGTGAGGCGGTTAATGTCTCTTAAGGCATTCAAAGGAGGTAAAGCTACTAGAAAACACAGTACTTTCCTCTCTCAAATATGAAATAAAGGAAAATACTTAATTTTATTTAATTTCTTTCAACCAGGAGGTATTTTGGCCATTTTACAAGTAAACCTGAATGATCCTTTACAGCCATTTCTACTTACTACTTACTCATCAATGTCCTGTACAACCTCAACAGGATGTCCCAACTCCTTTACTCAAAGTGCTACTAAATTAAATGAACTCTTGCAATGTCGCTCATTCACCATCTAGCATCATCATGGAACAGACCCTTCAGTTCAACCAGCTACGCTCACCATGTTCTCAAACTAAACTAGTCCCATCTGCCTGCACTTGGCCCATATCCCTCCAAACTTTGCCTATTTATGAGCTTATCCAAATGCCTCTTAAACATTGTAACTGTACCTGCACCCACCGCTTCTTCTGGCATTTCATTCCACATATGAACCACTCTCTGTGTGAAAAAGTTGCCCCTCAGGTTCCTTTTCAATTTTTCTCCTCTCACCTTAAAAATATGCACCCTCATTTTGAACTCCCCCACCCTAGTGAAAAGACCCTTTATCTATGCCCCTCATGATTTTATAAACCTCAATAAGGTCACCCTTCAACCTCCTACATTCCAGTGAAAAATGTCCCAGTCTTTTCAGTCTAGTTTTAAATCTCAAACCTTCATTCCTGGCAACATCCTGGTAAATCTTTTCTGAACCCTCTCCAGTTTAATAATATCCTTCTTATAACAGGGCGACCATAAATGCACACAGTACTCCAGAAGAGGCCTCAGCAATGCCCTCTACAACATCAACATGATGTCCCAATTCCTATACTCAAAGTACAAGTCTCTTCAGCTAACTAGAAAAAAAATAGGAGTTTTAAAGTTAGTACTAGCATATTGTTGTGCATTTAGCTCTCAGATTTGTTTACACTCCAGTCTGTGTAAAGTTAGTTGGTTCAAACACGTCATGCCTAAAAGTTGCAAGTTTGGAATTCAAATCAAGCCTCTGTCGTTCTTAGTAACCAGACATGTGAGCCCAGCAGATCTACAGTACTCCCAGGTACTGTTTATCATTAATTCGATTAACTGACTGATCAATGGGATCTGGAAAGCTAGACCAGGCACTGAGGATTGGATTTCTTCCCAGTCAGCCCCAGATAACTTGGGAAGCCAATGCCCTCATGGGTAAGCAGTCCAGGTTGGACAAACAGCAGAATTGTTACCAGTGCTGGTGAACTGTAGTTCTGTTGGATAAAATTCCAGACGTACCTCTGTGCACACTTGGGCGGTGGGGGTGTTCCAAACCTTGGCTTTTGCTGAGCTGAGTTGAAACTCTCTACTTAGTAGGGGATATAATCACAGAATGGTG